TTGAACTTGTCTTAATAGTGTCTAATATTCTATCAATAGAAGATGCATAACATAATTTAATTATATAACTTCTTACAACTAACTAAAGATAAATATTCCAATTCCACAATGTAATTAACAATACTGTCTACATATAATTTTATAAGTCTATCCTATCAACTAACTGTATCATTTAAAAAAAAAATCTTGTAACCTTAATCAATATATCTACAATGATTTAAATACTATTTTGTCTCCATTTCGTGTATTTGGAATCCCCAAACAAAAATATTTGAGGGTAACTGCCTCCATTCTAAATTAACAATATCTCTAAAAATTCAATCGTTCATGATTTTCTAAAATTCTAGTTATCCTCAACAAAACAATTGAGATAGCTCAATATGGTGTTCTTTTCCTTTAATTTTATATCACCCAATGATAATCTATACACAATTTCCATTTCCACTATTTCGAATAAAATATAACTTAAACTCTGATGATTGATAAGTATTGATATTTCTCGCAATGTGATGACATAATCTCAATATAACCAACTCTAAATCATGTTTTAATCATGCCTCTTCAAAAATTTATAATATAATTCATAATTCATCGTTTTACTTCAGAACACATTCTTAACATTAACATAATCCATTATCATAAATCAAATCCTCATCAACTTTTGATGCAAGAGTCAATGTTTCCTCACAATTTAATCTGATAGCGACACTTTTTACATCCTTAAATCCACACAATTTTGGTGCTCTTTCTTTCCATGAAGAGACAATTATAACAATTAATCCATGATAATTCTATACTCTTATTCCATAAAGAGGCCATCAGCCTATCACCAATGCATATGTTTTCTTGTATATCGCACAAGACCTTCAATAAAGAGTATAACCTAAAGATACCGTTCTACAATTGGAATAAATTTACATGATGATCATCTTAAAGTTTAAGCTATCCAACATATCATCCATATGTTCTATAACTTGCAGATTTCGAGAAGAATGGAATACTTTATTCATGAAATCTAAAAATACAATCGAAAATAACTTAAAATTTACATCATTAAAACTTCATTGAATTCACCTTAACTTCAAAATTTGGCTCAAAGCTTTCAAATTCTATGGAATATAACACAATACTCCAACAAATGGCCTTAAAAAATCAATTAACTTAGTAACCCAAATCTTTCATCACATTATTTTGCTATAGAACAGTCATTACATTCATTTATATGCTATTAACCATATCAGATTGTAATCATATAACCTCATAACATACTAATGGCCATGCTATATGTCTTCCAACTTTTAGTTATATCAATTTTCCTTAAGATCACAAAATAATAACCTTCATATTTATCATACGAAACTTTCATACATCAATATATCATCAAGATTTCATACGTTAATTTTCCAAACTCAATAAATTCCAATTTTACCATTCTCAATTTTTTTTCACATAAACATACCTAAATACACAGATCCATTTAATTATATTTTTAAAGCAACAAATCACCCCATAATAGGTAATCATTATAAGTTCATCTCTATTATTCTCACATTCCTTGTAATCAAACCACTCATAAATAATCGCAATGATTGGAATTATCATTAATTTCCTCGATGCCTAAAGTACACAATAACACATTGTCATCTATGAATCAACAAATCATCATTGTGTCTTCTACAATTTCTTATCTATAGCATAAATATACACCATCATAATTTCTATTATCATCCCATAAAATTGGCCACAAATCACCACAAAATTTGATAGCATTATTAACCATTTGGCTTCAAGAATAATTAAAATTCCCCAATGATTGTCACCAATCAAACATCATATCATTTCCTTGTATTTATCGTGCAAACTATAGCTAAAAATTTTCCTATGTACTCATAAAAAAATCATGTAGTTCTACAAATAAATTGATAATTAAGTGGTTATAATATCTGTAACTTCGAATGCCCGCAAAATCATCACAATCTGTTCAAATCTTAATAGGTTACATACAAATAGGTTACATACACACATAGTTCCAACCCAACAACTGATAACATTTCTAACTATCGGATCATCACAACTACCATACTTACATACTAGTCATTTCTAAATCCGTTAAAAAAAGTATTTTCTATCATTTTTGGTTCCATACATTTGAGCTAGAGAGCATGTGATTTCTGCCACCATGACATGTGATTATATCCACTGAACATGCATGAACCATAAAAATTTTCAAAACCATGCTTTGATACCACTTTGACACGACTCATCCTGAATCACCCTAGTGTACACAAAACGTGACGTGCGTCGATGATAAATGCTGACTAGATGTCAATTCTATCATCAAAGCTGACTATGAGTAATTTAAAAAAAATGCAACAAAATCAAATGCTTATATAAAACACAATGCGATGGGCCCAAAATATTTAATTCGTGCTTCATTAATATGAGTTATAATATTTAACATGTCGTGTGGCTCTCATTTCAAAATCATTAGGCTCTTCCAATTAAAAAGAATCAATTGCTACCTGTAGGAAAAATCGTGGAAAAATATATGAGTTAATAGCTCAGTGAGTAGAGAAGTTAAACATACTTTTTCATTTATACATTTTTATTGAAAATCAAATTCATATCATTTGATAATTCACAAGCTATCATCATATAATTATAGCCAAAAAGTGAAATATTCACATAAGGTTGTAAAATATCGTCTTAAAATCATGATATGAACATCAACTAATAGCCATGCTATAATCTCATCACATCAAACGTACTAAAAAATCCATAAAAAATATACCCTCTAACTGAAATATGAATTTTTGCCACGGGCCTTTGGCCCCCTCCGTGAATGAAAGTCGGTCTCAAAAACCTCTGGTAATCAATTCTAGAACACGGTCAAGGTCCCTCTGTGAACTATATATATACGATCAAGACTAATGTCAGGTCAAGATCCCTCTGTGTAGAATAGAACAGGCCAAGGCCCCTCTGTAAACTAGAAGAAGTATATAATCATGGGTACTTTTCTGGCCGATCTCAATATCACATATGTTTCACATACCAAGTCATAAATGTACCAAAAGTAATCTTTGAAATTCCACATGTATCATAATAAAAGGGATTTCCATAATAATCATATAATCGAACACATAATTGCACATACCTTGATAATATACTTAATTTATAAATATTTTTAAAATATTTATATTTCTCCACTCACAGAACTATGTACGCCAAAATAATCTGATTGGTAAGCTGTTCCGATATCTGTATCGTTGTCTGAAATATGATATAATTTTTAAATCAATAATTAATTATTTTAAGTAATTTCAAAAATTAAATATGCGATACCCAAACTTAATCATTTCACGTTTAAGCTATTTTTAAAGTTTCTTTAATCACTAAAACTAATTTTTCTTTCACTTTACTCAATTTCATAGTTTATTACACTTAATCCCTTCAATAACATTTAATTTAATCTAACAATCTAACAACTATAAAATTAAATATAACCTTTCAATAAGTAACTTTTTACTTACCTTTAACTTTGAAGAATTCCAACCTAATAGTAGAAGAGCTTCTTTCTAACATGTTGGCGAAAATTTTCTATTTTTTTTCTTCTTTTTCCTTCTTTTCTCTTTCCTCTTTTCTCTAACTTTTCTCCCTGCTCTCGGCTTCTCTCTATGTGCATATGTTTGCACAGCAATGAAATGGATTTGCTTGGAAATGGATATATATAAAGAAAACGCATCGCCTGAAATTTTTTTAATTTTTGTTTGCCGTTCTTTTTTTCACTTTTCTTTTAATTAAACTAATGTATTACATATGTGGCGCTTATGTTGTTGCAATTTATTGTCGGTGTAGAGAGAGTTGATGTACGAAGTTGAAGTTCTATGCAATGGAAGCTACCATACTGGGCTTCTGCTGTACAACAAACGAACTATGGCCTTTTGTTTCTTAGAGATGACCAACTTATAGGATTGGCTCCGATGAAGACAATATATGCTATTATAGACGTACAATGGCCAGAATTTCTCGCCCACTCTTGGGAAATGCATGTAATTGTTAAAAAATTAATTTGTAATCTATCTTCAAAGAGTTCAAATCCAAATTGAACACTTTAAATAACAAAGGAAGATTCATTAAATGGTCAATGGATAAGATTTTCAATTCAAATTGAATACTCAACTTCAATATTCAAACAATGCAAGCTGAAATCTGGTAATTATCTTCAAGATATAGTCTGATGTTCAAATACAGCTAGAATTGAATATTCAAATGATGATAAAATACACATATTATCTTGTTTCCTAGGACTAGCTTATTTAATGTTCTCTATAAATAGGAAGGTATCCATTTAGTGTTATGAATGTAGAAGAAGAAAAATCTCTCAAAAAATTAGAGAAAGAGTGTGTTGTAGCAACTCCTTTGTAATCCCTCAAATTTCATGAGTAAAATATCATATTTCTCATAATTATCTTCTTATATACCCAACAAATAACAAATTGTGGTATTAGAGCCAGGTTAAATACATAAACAAATTCCTACCAAAAGCTGAAACAAAATCAACCTCAAAAACCACCATAGCAACAACAGTTTTTTTAACAAAAACAGGGCAGCTATGGCAACAAATACAGCAGCCTCTTGTTCACTTATTCACCAAGTCAAGTACCAATCTTTGAAGGTGAGCACTATGAATATTGGAGTAGTCAAATGCAAACTTTCTTCATCTCTTTAGATTTATGGGATGTCATTGAAAATGATGAGGTGGTAAAATATTCAACCGAAGGAGATGAAGAAGATCCAAAGTTACAAAAGGAATATAAAAAGAAAGATGCAATGGTGTTGCGATATATTCAACATTGAGTTGGAAAATCAAATTTTCCTCATATGTTTGGTCTTAAAAAGTCAAAGATGCACGGAAAATTTTAAATCAAGAATTTCAAGGCTCGGAGAAAACTATTTCCTTTAAACTTCAATCATTATGGAAAGATTTTGAGAATCTCAAAATGGAAGAACGAGAGTCGGTTCACGATTTCTCTTCACAAGTTTCGAAGATTGTAAACCAAATCAAAAGTTGCGGAAATACAATTAAAGACAAAAGAATTGTTGAGAAAGTGCTTCGATCTCTCCCTTCAAAATTCGATCATGTAGCCGCCACAATTGAAGAATCAAAGGATTTGTCTAAAATGACCATGTATGAGTTGACCGGATCACTTCTTGCACATGAGCAAAGAATCAATCGTTCGGCTAGTCAATCAACTGAACAAGCCTTTCAATCAAAGCAAGCATTAAAAATAAGTTCAAGCAATCATGAAAGTTCAAATAACCAAAAGGAAAAGTTTAGCAAGTGGAGTCAAAATGAAAAGCTAAGCAATTGGAAAGCCAAAACACCACAACAATCCGGTAAGACTCAATCTTGCATTATTTGTAAAAAGAACAATCGTGAATCAAAAGATTGCTATTTTAAATGCAAAAGATGCAAATTTCCTAATCATTTTCAAAAAGATTGTTGGTTTCAAGATAAGGAGAAAAATGAAGATGCAGCAAATTTTTTAAAAGAGAGTGAAAATGAAATTCTATTTTATTCTCATCAAAATGGTGACTTTGAATCCAAGAATCAATGGTATTTGGATAGCGGTGCTAGAAATCACATGACTAGAAATAAAGATATCTTTGTAGAGATCAATCCAAATATCACCTCAAAAATTATTCTTGGAGATGGAACACAAAGAAGCGCAGAAAGAAATGGCATCATTGCAGTCCAGACTAAGGGAAGTAACAGAAAACTCATTACTGATATTCTTTATGTGCCAAATCTTTCATATAATCTCTTAAATATTGGACAACTCTTGCAAGAGAATTTTTCGGTGCACTTTGATGATGAAAGATGCAAGATCTTTAATAAAAAGAAAAATGTTATAGTGGCGAATGTTGAAATGAAAAACAAAACCTTTTGTCTCATGTAACCACTAGACAACAATTGTGCACTTACATTTGAAAATGCAGATTTGTCACATCTATGACATTTGTGATATGGTCATTTAAATGGCAAAGGACTTCAATTGCTTAAGGAGAAAAATATGGTGATCAAGCTTCCTAAAATTCAAATGAGACAAAGTGCGTGAAGGTTGTGTATATGGATTCCTAAAACTTTATGGCGAGCAAAAATGCCATTGGAACTTGTTCATTCAGATATTTGTAGACCAATGTAAACTCCTACCGGAAACAAGAGATATTTCATTCTCTTTGTTGATGATTACAAACGGATGATGTGGATTTTCTTTCTCAATCAAAAATCTGAGGCATTCTCTACTTTTCTTCGGTTTAAAGCACGTGCAGAAAGACAAAGTGGATTTCTAATAAAGATGTTGAGGACTAATCGTGGAGGAGAATTTCTCTACAATCCCTTCATTGAATATTGCAAAGTTAATGGCATTCAAAGGTAGCTGACAGTTAGCAGAACTCCACAACAAAATGGAGTAGCTGAAAGAAAGAATCGTACCATTGTCGAAATGGCAAGAAGCATGCTAAAAGTTAAAGGAGTTCCAAATCTTTATTGGGCAGAAGCTGTAAATATGACAATATATATTCTCAATCGGTCTCCTACAAAAGTTGCTAAAAATAAAACTCCGTTCGAGATGTGGCACAAAAAGAAGCCAAAGGTAGATCACTTAAAAAATTTCGGTAGCATTTCCTATGCCTTCGTTCCATCACAAGACAGAGAAAAGTTTGATGAGAAAGGACAAAAACTTCTATTCATTGGATATGGAGATGAGTCTAAAGGATATCGTTTACTAAATCCAAAGACAATAAAATAATAGTTTCCTGATATATTGTGTTCAATAAAGTACAACTTATGATTGGAAAGGAAAGCAAATCATAGATCCTAGACCCTATCAATTTGATGATCCATCGACGTCTCAAATTTTCAATACTGAACAACATACAACTCCAAATATTCCAACAATTGAAGAAGAATTAGAAACCCCTCCAAGAAAAACACGTTCACTAGGAGAAATATATGAATCACAGGAACTCGAATTATTCTCTTGTGAACCTCAATCATATGAAGAAGCTTCAAAAAACAAAAGTTGGACAAAGCAATGAATGAAGAAATATCCACCATTGAGAAAAATAAAACTTGGGAACTCGTTGAGCTACCAGAATAAAAGAGGACCATTGGTTTGAAATGGATCTATAAAATCAAATACAATGAAGACGGGTCAATTCAAAAAATAAAGCTCGGCTCATGGCCAAAGGATATTCTCAACAACTAGGAGTCGACTTCACAGAGACATTTGCTCCAATTGCAAGAATGGAGACAATACGTACAATTTTGGCATTGGCAGCTCAATTGGAGTTAAAAGTTTTTCAGCTCGATGTAAAATCAGCATTCTTAAACGGTGAAATTCAAGTAGAAGTGTATGTTGAACAACTTGAATGGTTCAAAAATAAAGGCAAAGAAGACAAGGCTTATCATCTTCAAAAAGCATTAAATGGGTTCAAGCAAGCACCCCGAGCATGGAATAGCAAAAGCAATAGCTATTTCATTCAAAATGGCTTCAATCAAAGCACAAGTGAATCATATCTCTATGTCAAAAATGTCGAAAAGAATTTTTTTATCGTATGCCTCTATGTGGATGATCTTATCTACTTTAACAAATGAACACATGGTGGATAAATTCAAAATGAAAATGATGAAAGATTTTGAAATGTCTAATTTGGGACTCATGAGATAATTTATTGGGATTCAAGTAAAGCAAAGCGCAAGAAGAATTTTTCTTTCTCAAGAAAAGTATATTGATAATCTTCTCAAAAAATTCAAAACGAGTGAGTGCAAGCCAATCTCTACTCCGATGGCCTTAAATGAAAATTTGCAAGTTTATGATGATGCAAAAAAAAGTTGATGCCACACTCTACAAGAAATTGATTGGTTCATTGATTTATCTTAATACAAGGCCACATATTACATATTCAGTTAGCTTATTATTCAGATTCATGAATAAACCAAATAAACTACATTTTGCAGCAGCAAAAAGAATTTTGAGATTCCTTAAAAGAACCAAAAACCATGGCATAGAGTTTAAAAAGGAGAATAATTGCAAACTTGTTGGCTATACAGATAGTGATTGGGTTGGATCAGTTGATGATCGGAATAGCACTTCTGGATACATCTTTTGCCTTGGATCAAATGTGATTCCCTAGAACTCAAAAAATTAGAAATCCATTGCTTTATCATCAATCGAAGCAGAGTACATCGCAACTACAGATTCAACTTGGGAAGCTGGTTGGCTTAGAAGAATTTTGAAAGATTTGAAATTCGAGTAAGAAGGACCAACAATAATTTATTGCGACAATATGTCGGCAATTGCGATGACAAAAAATCCAATCTTCCATACTAGGTCAAAGCATATTGAACTTCGACATCTCTTAATAAGAGACTTGGTAAGTCAAGAAGAAATTTGTATGGAATTTATAAATACCAACGATCAACCGGCCGATATGATGACAAAGCCAATGACCATTGATAAGTTTGAGAAATTCAAGGAATATTTGAAGATTACAAATTAAGATGGGGTGTTAAAAGATTAATTTGTAATCTATGTTCCAAGAGTTCAAATCCAAATTGAACACTTCAAGCAACAAAGGAAGATTCATTAAATGGATAAAATTTTCAACTCAAATTGAATACTCAACTTCAATATTCAAACAATGCAAGCTGGAATCTGGTAATTATCTCCAAGCAGCAGTCTGACGTTCAAATACAGCTGCAACTGAAGATTCAACAGCTGCAAATGATGATAAAATACACCTATTATCTTGTTGTAATTGCAATAAGTTCTTAGGACTAGCTTACTCAATGTTCCCTATAAATATGAAGGTATCCATCTAGTGTTATGAATGTAGAAGAAGTAAGAAAAATCTCTCAAAAAATTAGAGAAAGAGTGTGTTGTAGCAACTCCTTTGTAATCCCTCAAATTTCATAAGTAAACTCTTATATTTCTCATAATTATCTTCTTCTATACCCAACAATATGGAGAGTGGGAAATTTTTATGTATGAAGATACTGTAATGGATAGTGTCTTTTAGGTATAGTAAGATTCCTTTTACAGCTATCCAGTGAATTAAAGAGGATTTATGTGTAAATTGTGATAATTTGTTGATGTTAATAGATGTTCGATCTTGTCAAAGAGAGATATTTCATGGATCCTATAGTGTAGCGATATGTTGTATGATCTGTGGAAGGATTTCCATCATAGTCCTGGAGTTTTTCAAAAGTTGCCATAGGAGTTGAAACTTCTTTTGCATTGTGCATATTAGTTTGCTGATGCAAATCCTTAATATACTTCTGTTGAGATAGAAAGACACCAAATGATGTGGAAATGCCTTTCATCCTAGGATTAGCTTAAGCTTCTAAGGTCTTTGAGAGAGAAACGACTAGCTATATGTTGAATGAGTTTTTGAGTTTTGACAGCAAAATTACCAATAATAATAAAAATATCGTCAACATAGACAAGAAGATAAATTAAGTGTATTTGGTCTTTGCAGATGAAAAGGAAGCTGTCAATGTGGGAATTGTTGAATCCATTACCTACTAAGAAGGATCGAAGTTCATTATACTAAGCTCTTAGTGCTGTCAAAGACCATAAATAGCTTTGTTTAGTTTGCATATGTGTCATGAAAATGAGGATGGATGAAATCTGGATGTTCCTACATAAAGACGTGATCTATTATTGAGCCTCGTAATACATTATTTATATCTTATTGCCTTAGTGACCATCCATTTGAAACAACCAATGTGAGAAAAATGCGCACAGTAGGTTGCTTAACAAGTGAGCTTTATGCTTCAATGAAATCTGTTAGAATTGGATTGTAATCCAAATTCTTGTTGAGTATTTGATTGAAAATACTGTTAAATAGATTTGAAAATGTTTTGAAGGAGTCCAATGTGAATTTGACTCCTATTTCGTCCTAAATTCTCCATTATTGATTTTTCCCATTGTATTGGGACTTCACCTTATATTTAATCTTTTCATGTATTAATTCTCCTAGTATGATAGGAATTCTTTGGTTATAAATATGTGGTATACTACACATATTGAAATTGATCTATTGTCCAATTAGTTATTGGTCCAAAGATATCTTTGTAAGTCCTTTACTTTTGATTATATTGAATTCTCCGCCTTTGCCCATGGTTTTCTCGGATATGAGTTTCCACGTAAATCTTGTTTTCTTTGTGATCCATTATTTTCATATTGCTCATATCATTCTCATCTTTATTATTTGGCCTAGTTCTCAACAAAGTCTGTTAGGATCTTCCTCTAGCTGCTCAAGGTGATTTTCGAGCTCAGTTAACCATTAAACATTGAATCAACACCAAGAAATTGGAGGTGATCGACCGCTGGCGTGCTTGTCTTCCTATGATTGCTATTGCTCTTTTTGCTTGTTGTTTCTTCCACTCAGGATGGATACCACACAGGTAAGGGTCACAAAGACTCAAGCAATAGGTAGAGAAAATCAATCAACAGGATGCACAAGGAAGAAGAAGAAAACTGCCTCTCTCTCTCGGGTTCTAAAACAGGATGTGAAGGAAGAAGAGAATTACCAATATATATATAATAGTCCAATGACCAACTTAAGGTAAGTTATACTATGGTAAGTAGGCTCGACTAGGGTTAAGTCCCAATAGCACACCAACAAGCCACAAAGGTTATTAGCCATCCAATAGGTAAAGCAACGCTAGGTCGGGTCATTCCATTATTCGGTGTTGATTTATCGTTAAGTCATTCATGTCGAAACTGGTTTTCATCATCGCCCGGTAGGTCGTTTGACAACATGATATTTGACAACCTCCACCTTGGTGTCAAAGGACCAGCAAAGAAAAACGTTTTCCATTAGTGACACCTCTAACAAAAAATCGATAAAATTGGAAATCATTTACTTGTACCGATGTTTAGAAGCTCCTTGCAACTTCTAAACTTTACCAGTGGCAGCACTTTCGTGCCCATATCTGAAGGATTATATTTTGTGTGAATTTTTTCAAGTCTTACTACTTCTTGTGATATTATATCCCTAATGAAGTGTAACCTAACATCGATATGTTTAGTGCGTTCGTGAAAAATAGGATTTTTACACAGATGTATGGATGACTGACTATCAGAATACACAACCACATACTCATTCAAGACACTCAGTTTATGAAGTAGACCTCTAAGCCATAGAGCCTCTTTAATTGCTTCAGTGGTGGCAATATATTCTGACTTTGTAGTGGATAGTGCAATTATGTTGTAACTGTGATTTCCAACTAACACACGAATTTGATAAGGTAAATACGTAAGAGGAAGTTGATTTCCTACCATCCCTATCTCCTGCATAGTCAACATCTACAAAACCCTTTAATTTCACGCCTTCCTTATTAGCACTAAATTTTAGACCTACGTCACTTGTACCCTTCAAATATCTTAAAAGCCACTTTAATGCTTCCCAATGTTCAGGACCTGGATTAGACATGTACCTACTGAGAGTACTAACAGCGAATCCTAAGTCCGGTCTAGTGCAAACCATCAAATACATTATGGAACCAATGACATTTGAGTATGGAATTTTACTCATGTATTCCACTTCACGTTCATTGCAAGGAGCTTGTTCTTTAAATAGAACAAAATGGTTTGCAAGAGGCAACATGACAGGTTTGCAGTCACTCATATTAAACATTTTCAACACCTTTGATATGTATGGAGACTAATGCAAGAATACGATGGAATTTATCCTATTTCATTCTATTTCCATGCCTAAAATTCTTTTAGCCTTTCCTAGGTCTTTCATGTCAAATTCTCCACTAAGATCTGCTTTTATATTGTTTATCCACTTAGGAGATGATCCAACTAAAAGCATGTCGTCCACATAGAGCAACAAGAACAAATAATTGTTATCAGTCTCGTTGTGCTGAAAGTATAGGCAGTGATCGAATTTGCTTATTCGAAATCCTATAGTGAGTACAAAGGAATGAAACCTCTTGTACCACTGTTTAGGTGATTGCTTTAGACCATATAGGGATCTCTTTAGAAAACACACATAATCAGATTTTAACTTGTCTTTAAAACCTTTTGGTTGATTCATAAAGATTTGTTCATCAAGCTCTCCATGTGAAAAAGTGGTTTTTACATCGAGTTGTTCAAGTTCCCAGTCAAAGAGCGCAACCAATGCGAGCATGACCCTAATAGTAGTGTACTTGACAACTGGTGAGAAAATCTCGTTATAATCAACACCTTCTTTCTGTGTGTAACCCTTCGCTACTAACCTAACCTTAAATCTTAAGGGTTCTGCACTACTAGTACTTTCCTTAACCTTAAAGACCCACTTGCAATCAACGATTGATTTATTCTTAGGTCTCGGTACTAACTCTCAAGTTTGATTCTTTTCTAGAGAACTCATCTCTTCTTTCATAGCCTTAAGCCACTCCTTAGATTGACCACTATTCATAGTCTCTTCAAAAGTTTCCGGCTCCCTATCAACTAGTTCTTCGTAACTAGCGTATGCAAAATCCAATTCAGATTCATAACCGAACCTCCTAGGTTCTCTCGTTTGTCTTCTATCTCTATCTCTAACTAAATTATAGTTAGCTAATGGATTTTCTTCCTCAGGATACTCTTCTATCACTACTTCATTTTCCTCTTCAGGTTCTTAGACCTGAATCTCCACCTCACTCGAAGTACTAGGTACTGATGTGTTAAGTTTTCCTAACTCCACCTTAAACCGATTTCTTTCTTCACCTGATTCAGTTTCACTTACAGGTTCGATTTTGTTCTTTAGACAAGGCATCTCACTCTCATTAAATGTGACATCCCTACTCACGACGATCTTAACTCCTTTTTGGCTTCTATCCCATAGCCTATAGCCCTTAACCCCTTCGGGATATCCTAGAAAGACACACTTCCTGGCTATAGGTTCTAACTTTCCCTCACTTTGATGAGAGAAGGCAGCACAGCCAAACGCTTTAAGCATTGAGTAGTCACCCAATTTTCCAGACCATTTCTCATGTGGAGTATCACCATTTAATGTAGTCGATGGAGTTAAATTTATCAGATAACAGGCAGTTACAACGGCTTCACCCCAAAATGACTTAGGAACCCCAAAACTTAACATCATGCAGCGCACTTTATCTAGTATGGTCCTATTCATTCTTTCTGCTACCCCGTTTTGCTGGGGAGTATAAGGAACCGTTTTGTGCCTTGTTATTCCACTTTCTTTACACATCCTATCGAATTCAGCATTACAAAATTCTAGGCCGTTATCTGTCCTTAAAAATTTGATCCTCTTGCTAGTTTGGTTTTCCATTTGTTTCTTCCAGTTGTTAGAGTTATGGAAGGTTTCAGTTTTTGTCTTTCAATAGATAGACCCACACTTTCCTGATGTAGTCATCTATGATAGATAGGAAATACCTATTCCCACCCGATGTGGGATTACTAGCAGGACCCCACAGATCAGAATGCACATATTCAAGCATGCTTTTAGCCTTATGCGTACTAATGGAGAACGACACTCTATGGTACTTTCCGAGCACACAATGATCACAGAACGATAGGTCAGACATACAGTCATTACCAAATGCACATTTTTCACTAAGTAGCTTAAGTCCTTTAATGCTTACGTGTGCAAGCCTACTATGCCACATATGTGTGTGATTGATTTTGGTGGAAGAAATAGAGGAGTTTAATCCTATAATCACTTCCCCAGTAGTGATGTAAATATCATTTTTCTTTATTCCCTTAATAGAGATTAACGCACCCTTCATCATTTTAAACATACCGTTTCCAATTTTACCGGTGAAGTTGTCTTTCTCAAGTCTTCCTACTGAAATCAAATTCCTAGATAATTCAAGAATATATCTAACTTCCTTTAACATGTACACAAAGCCCATGTTAAATTTTATCTTTATATATCCAATTCCAGCAATTGTATAGGCAAAGTTATCACACAGAACTACTTGCCCATCATTAGATTCTTGCAAGTTTTTAAACCAATTCTTTTCAGACGTCACATGAAAAGACATACCAGAATCTAATATCCATTCATGCATGTGAGAATTAGTAGTTAGATTTAATTCAGTAATGTATGCGATTGGACTAGTAATCACATAGACTTCACCGTTTTCGGTATCGGAGGTAGAGGATAACACATTTACCTCATCTCTTTCCTTAACCTTTTGTTTTCCCTTTTCTTTATGACAGTCTTTTATAAAATGCCCTGTGCCTCCACAGCCATAGCATTTTCTAGCCTTAGTTCTAGACTTTGACCTAGGTCTACCATTTCCCTTCTTTTTCCAACTATTACTACTTGATTCGCCACTACTTTGGTATCCATCATGACTGGCTTGCCTAAATTGAGTTCTACCCCACATCATATGCAACTCTCCACTCCTCCTATCCTGTTTTTCAGCCCTCATTTTCATCTCCTTACTCCTAAGAGAATCTACGACTATTTCAAGTGTTAACGTGTCCCTACCATACTTAATGGCATTTTTAACTTCTTTATAAGAGTCCAGGATTGAATTGAGCAAGATTATAGCCTTATAGGTCTCAGACATGGCTTCGTCATAATTGACAATATCTTGCACCAATTTGTTAAATACATCTAAATTGTCGTCGAAATCCTTTGAAGGATCCATATTAAAGCTGAAGAATCGTTCGAGTAGGTAGAGTTTATTCGGTGTAGATTTAAGCAAGTATAAGTCTTCTAGTCTTTTCCAAAGTTATTTGGTGGTTTTTAGTTTTCCCACTTTTCTTAAGACAGCGTCAGACAAGTGTAATATTAATGAGGTATAGGCAACCTCATCGACTTCCTCTTTTTGTTCTTTTGAGATGTCAGGTGCAAAATTGCCTTCGATGACTTTTGACACCTTTTGTTGGACTAATATGTCTCTCATCTTTTGTTGCCAGATAGAGAAGTCCCCTTTACCGTTAAATATTCCCAAATCAAAATTATATGTTGTCATTGGTTAACACACTAATTAAACCACACGAAGTAGTATTGGGAAGCATGATAAGGTAATATCTTGTTAATTCTTAGCAAAAGTAACAATGAACCTAAACGCTACGTCCACCAAGAAATACCAAGCACTTTAAATCAAAAGAACAAGCACTCAATTAACGCAAGTAATCGTAGTTCTAGCACAAGCAATGGTTACCCCTTCACGGTAACCCCAAAATCTAACGATCACCCCACACGATGATCTTGCTATTGCTGAATTTAAATGGATTAAGCCAATTTACCAGAGCAGACCTATCTGAGTCCGTAGAGTGGAGAAAAACGAGCTTGCTGTTCAATTTCAGTCGGCGTCGCACCAGGGGCAAAATCGTCCAACTTTTTCTGTGTAACCTGAAACACAAAACAAAGTATATCAGCGCATTTAGGAGATCGAAACAAGCAAGTTACCTGAAGACAGTTTCGCCGGACTGTCGCCCACGCGCCGCTACTGTCCGCCCACGCGTCGCCTCACCAGGGGCGCCTCGACCTGCTGGTAATGGGTATGGCCTCCGTTTGTCCAACCGAGCTTTGGTTTGTGAGTAATTGAAGAATTTCAGATTCGGGTTCTATGTTGAATATGCGAAAATCAGCCGATTTTGAGCCTTTTTTGCTACCCAAGCTCTGATACCATATGTTAGGATCTTCCTCTAGCTGCTCAAAGTGATTTCCAGGCTTAGTTAACCATTAAACATTGAATCAACACCAAGAAACTGGAGGTGAAGGACCGCCAGCGTGCTTGTCTTCCTATGGTTGCTATTGCTCCTTTTGCTTGTCTTCCACTCACTTAGGATGCATACCACACAGGTAAGGATCATAGAGACTCAAGCAATAGGTAGAGAAAATCAATCAACAGGATGCACAAGGAAGAAGAAGAAAACTGCCTCTCTCTCTCGGGTTCTAAAACGGGACGTGAAGGAAGAAGAGAATTACCAATATATATAATAGTCCAATGACCAACTTAAGGTAAGTTATAATATGGTAAGTAGGCTCAACTAGGGTTAAGTCCCAATAGCACACCAACAAGCCACAAAGGTTATTAGCCATCCAATAGGTAAAGCAACGCTAGGTCGGGTCATCCCATTATTCGATATTGATTTATTGTTCAGTCATTCATGTCGACTGATAAAACTGGTTTTCATCATCGCCCAGGAGGTCGTTTGACAACATGATGTCTAACAAAGTCCACATCAGGTCTTTGATGAAAACCCTTGGCAACTCAACATGCTTTATGCATATGAATTTTGCCATCTATGTGTCTTAATTCTATAAATCCACTTGCAGCCTATGATGTTCTGTGTGTTGTTGTTTCGCGGTACTAAGGTCCGTGTGGAATAATAGAGAAGAGTGTCATACTCCTCACACATATTTGTACGCCATTTGGGAAGTTCGTGAGCTTGGGATGGAGTTGTGGGTTCAGCCACTACAGATGGTTCAAGGGTAATATGAAGTTCAACTGCCACTTTACTTCCATATGAATCAGAAGATTGTATTGTTTTCCAAGTAGTAATAGTTGCATGTTAACAATCCCATGAAAATGGTGAAAAATATAAACATAAGAGGAAAAGAGGTCTTTAGAAAGAAAAAAAAAAAAAAAAAAAAAAAAAAAAAAAAAAAAAAAAAAAAA